CTCTATACATGATGAGGCACATTAGACATGGGCTCAGACATCTCCATATTCGGGATAAGAAAGGCATTGCCTGGGCTCCTGCAGGATTTAACTAGCAGGCATGACACCGAGGAGTTCCTCACATTGCCTTTAACAGGATTTAGCTAGATGAAAGGCTACAGGGGAGAAAAGAGAGATACAAAGAACTTACAAGAACTTGTAGAAATGGAAAGGAGAGGAAGGAACCACAAGAGGAAAGAGTGAGATGACAGACTGGCAAGAAGACACACTTGGGCACTGCTATAAACATCCAGGTGTGTATCACCACATAGTGCAGAATAATACAACTTTCACAGAAGACAGACGCATTTGAAAGGTAGTAGTAGTGTTGCCGTGTCCCCTGCAGAGTCAGCCAGGCTCAGGGGTGTCACTGCAACAAGTAGAAAAGTGGTTAAAGAGGGACCACAGGTGAGCTAAGGCAGAGTCACTGAGCTGGAAAGAAGAAAAATAGCACGTCACTTTGCTTGAGGCCAATGGGGGCTAAAGCACTGGGGGACATGCACAATAACTCCACACAAACATGAGGAGGTGAAAATGCAGAGGGGAAAACTAAACATTACAAACACACATACACAGGTGAGCTTGAGCATTCCAAATTAAGATCACAGAAATGCCAGTGGGAGCTGAAAAGATGTTTCATGATCAACAGTGTCATTATGCAACAACATTAACACATGCATATGAACACACCTCCATATTCGCCCAGGAGGTGGGTCGCCTAGCTGAACTAATGCTAATGTGCCAATCTGTGCCTGTTTTCACCTCAGAGCGGAGCATCCTTACTTTGCATGCCTGCTCCGCCTCAAACAACGCAGCAGCACGGCAAACTACAGCAGCGTGCAACAAGCCTACAGGTAACAACCAAGACAGCAAAACACACAGGATACAGTATATTGCGAGCTTTTACACAGAATAACTTACTGTATTATATGTATGCCATGATATGCCATTTTGTGATTTTCTAACTATAATAATATCATCAGGAAATTCTAAACAGACGCAGAGTTGACACTTGACTTTTAGAACTTGCTCTAATCTTATTTGTCCTTTTTTCCTTTTTTTCCTTTACAGTTTTTTGTTCCTCTTCCATCTCATTTTACTTTTTGCACTCACAGACACACAGAAGTACTGAGCAGGAGGTAAAACATTCACAACTCACAATGTGACTGGCTCTCTGCCAACGTCAGTAGAACAAAACTCTGAGAAGGAAAGACGCTCAAAAATAGTTCACTCAGTGTAGTTGGAATAGTTTGGAATCTGTAAGAATGGCAGAGATGCTGTTTGCAAATCAACCTCACAAGTGAGATTGCTGCTCTGGCAATGCTGCTATAGTAAAATTAAGTTGTAAGCGCTATTACTTAAGTTTATATTACATTCAGACTTTGTGTGTGAACAAACACGAGCCAGCTTGGATGTCCATGCATGCATTCATACAGTACATTGCCTCCCCAGTCCCGATCTCCAGAGTACATTTATTGGCAAACTGCTGTATGAAGTTGTATGTAATTGCATGCATATTTTAAATATGTTAAGTGTGGTGGTTTGAATAGACTTAAAATATATATGTGATGATACTGTATCTAAAAAACAGTATCTAGTATATAAATACATCTTGTACCAAGATAGGAGATGTGCTTTTCAATTTTTGTAAAGCACTATAAAAACAGATTAATTATATTATATAGTATATAGTATTTATCTAATGATGTCACTGTGATGTAGAATTTTGTTTTTGCGATAATAATTAACAGTTTGATATAGTTGTGGCCCTTATACAGACATACACCAACAACAAGGGCATGTTTTAGAAAAATGTCATCATTTACTCTAGCCCATAAAAATTACAGAAAAGTGCCTTAAGCCCTAAGAACAAAATGGATGTCGAGTTGGACAAAACATCCATCTGCCACTTTCTTTACAGCACAGGCACAAGGCAATAACGAGGTTATTTGGCTGTCGGTATTTGCTGCCTGCTCCTGCTTCGTGCCTACAGGTGATGTGAGGGAAACCTCAATAAATTCAGCCATTCTGTCAACAAACTGTTCTATACGTGGATATGAAGAAAGTGGAGCTATTTATTTTAGTATGAAAAATAAATATGTCTCCGCTTAAAAAGCCGGGGGCCAAAATTCAAACAAAGCTGAATGGTCTAGTACACCCAGCTGAGCTACATAAAATCTCACATATTTAAGACACACACTGGGCTACACACTGCTTCATGATTCTTTTCTTTTTTTTCCCCAATCATTTCATTTTGACTTTTTTTTTTTCCTATGTTGTTGCCACTTCGCATATAGTATCCCCATTTCATCTGTTTTCTCTTCGCTGTTCTTTCAGAGAATAATAATGTTTAGGCTAATAAATGCTGTAAGGATAGATACTGGAGAAGTGAGCAAACAAAAAAGGGAGGCTTTGTCATCTCAGACTCCGTCTCTGCTATTCAGTGCCAGCAGTACACTCACATCACTTCCACTCCTCTCAGCACAATGAGCCTGAGACATCAAAGCGAAGACCGAGAGGGAGAGAGCAAGAAAGATGGAGGGAGGGAGACAAAAGCGTAAAAAGCGATTGATGAAGAAAGACTGAAAGAAAGGACGGACATCAAGCTACCTGTTTTTGTGGAAATGTATGGTATCATTACAGCAGAATATTTCCTGCTATACTGCCTGCCTGGTCCCTGAATGCACTTCTGTCTTTTCCACAACATATAAACTATTCTAATCCTCCAAGTCAAAAGCCACAGTGGTTTCTAATAAAAGCACAAATTCACGTATGCAGCAGACTATTAATGGCCTTTCCCTACAACCTCTATCAAACTTTATGCACAACCAGTGGAAATGAGCATCTCAATAACATCAGCCGTCACAACTATTAGCTGTAAGGCAGAATAATAAGGACGTGAAATGCAAGTAAACAATGCATATGTGACTTCAAACAATGAGACTGCTGTCGACAAATGGTTGCATATTTGAAGGCCATAAGCACTGATTGCCTTGATATTTAAGATAAATGTAAATAAGCAGAACAGCACTCTCTCCATAACTTGACACATGGAATCAATAATGCTGCCTTGACATATTCACCTAGCCATGGGCGTGATTTTAATTTCAATTTCTGTTCATAGTTTCCAGTTTGGGAGTGGTAATTTGTGAAAAATAAAAAATAACTAAATGCAAATGAGCTGCTCTGTCTCTCTTGCTCTTATTGTGAAATGATTAACATTCCCTCCACAGATCAGAGCAGGTTTCTCAGCTCCCCTGGTTGAAATGCTAATGGTGCTTCCAACCCAGTTTAATGTCAATTCTATTCTACTTTTTTCCCCTGTCAGGGAGGAGCTCCCTGTCTCTATTTCCATACACAGCAGCAGGAGGGACAGACAGCAGGCTTACTCCCCCATCTGGATCTAGGGAATCAGCCCAAGACAGAAAGAGAAGGAGGAACAGGAGGAGGGTGAAGGAGGATCCTCTTGTCCATGCGGGAGTGTTTTTTTGGGGGAGTGCAATGAATGCAGACTTTACAACCTGATTCTGCCTCTGCAGAATTCCACCTTGTTTTAAAAGGGTTCAATAATAATAGATGATGGCCCCATACCAGGAAAGAGTGACAAGTCTTTATAGTTTTCTTTTTCCCCTATTGATCGCATTTCTTTTTTATCTACCATATTCATTTTTATTTTTCCCTTCAGACCAGTGGGTTGAATTCATGTGAGACCAAATAGAATCTACACACAATGTAAATGTGAGTGAGGCAATGTATCATCTGCTGGGGTTTTAAGGTTGGTAGGTTTTTAACATTCATCTATAAAGGTGTGCAACGTTGGTCGGTTCACTGCTGTGCGATAAATATAAGGCAGAACTCTTTAAAATGGCCCTCACCACCAACACTAAGTCACTGAAAAAAAAATCTACAACTGAGTATAAGGTCTAAATGGAATTGAGTTTTCTAGAGGTGTAATATATTGACAGAAGATCTATTTTAAGAGCAAACTGCATAACACAGTCAAAATATATACGTATTCATGGCCTCTCTGTTGTGTCTGGATGTTTAAATTAAGCAAGTTAGCATTATTCTGGTAAGGTTAGAAAAGCAGACATGTTAAATTAAGGAAAAGTGTGAGAGGCCACCTCTTTTATAAATAAGTAACCTGTACCGGAATGCTGTGGTTGAATTTGACAACTCCCAGGTGCCTAGATATCTTTAAAATTAGTGTGAAATAGACAAGACTGAATTGGTATCAAATGCTACTCTGTATTCCACACAATCCAGCTTTGCCATAACACAGAGGCAACCGGAGATCAGTCCAGGGATGTGGGAGTGACAGCAGCGGGGGAATTAGCGGTGTGATGACTGTCAATACACAATCAGAAATGCGGTATCATTACAAGGCTCATGTTGTTTAGTTTGGAGTTATTAGCTTTCTGAACATAGAGTTGAATCACTTGTAAAACACCCCAAGCTGCCACTCATCCTGAGCTGCAAGACTTTCAGAAGGATGCTTTGAGTTAAATTTGTATGTGTGCATTGATTTTTGCACATGAGCCTGTGTTGTGTGATAAAATACATGTGTACATGTGCGTGGATCATAACGAATCTTTAAAACCAGTGCCTTATTGCAGAGTACAGAACAGCGATTTATCATGCTACTGGAACTGAAAATGATGGCATATAATCACACAGCCTCCCAGACTGTTTCTCTCAGTGAAACATGGACATGTGCCAAGGTCCCTAGTCTAATGAGTGCTGTTGTCTCAGTGACAAAGCGCTAACCAGATAGACAGTGCTTTATGAATGTGCTTTGACAAGATACATGACTGCAATATTAAAGACAATTCAACAGGTGGTAAAATTGCATTTTTGCTTTTCTCTTTAAAGATGTGCTTCAGAATAAGGAAGCAATTGTTATTCATTTGTAACAATCCATTTTTGAGAGAAAAGCTGCTTTTTAAATAGTTTGTTCCTACCTTAGGGTCAGCAGTGAGCAGCTTAAAGGCCTCATACACCTGCCTCTCTTTGACACCTCCCCCCAGGTCCAGGAAGTTAGCTGGCTTTCCTCCATGCAGGTCAATGATGTCACATGTAGCCATTGCCAACCCGGCTCCATTCACTGTAAACATTTACTGTGTCGGTTAATATGCAAAACTGTATAATGAAATATAGAGAATAACTAAAAAGGCCTACACATACTTAGCAGAATGGAAGATGCCTTTAAGTAAATCTGATCATTAAGTACAGCTAAAATCCAGAACATGAAACAAAAGTCCCTGAGAGGAAAGTGTGACGCCAGTAGCCACGAGTTAAGTAAAATAACAACTGCTGCTGAAGGGAAGATGACATGTACTGTAAAGAAAACCCACAAAGGAATCCAGCAGTGAATTATCAACCAAAGAAAAGCAAATAGCTAAAGAAATGTCACACTTAAAAAGTGAATCGGCTGGAAATCTTCTAATCAGGAACATTCAATGCTTCAAGTTGAGCAACACAGAGAAAATTTGATTATGACTCGACTCCCGACTTCAGAGAAAAGAGCGTTGATTAAAAGAGGTTCTGCTACGCTTTCTTTTTGCGGTCTGTGTCATCATTTAGCCAACTGCCAGCGTGGCTACCCTGCTGAGTTGTGCGGGAGCCAAGTGCACAAAAATGTCTTACCTCATTTGGTTTAGCCAAGCTGAACTTGTGTCCTGGCAGGCTCCCCGACCGAGGTCTCAATAAAGGGAAATTCGCTTTAACAGCTGTCACTTTGGTGGCTTACAGAGCTCTCAAGGAAGCTGCAGGGCCTTAAAAGCTGTTGTTACTTTAAGAGAGGCTGGGAGCTGGGGATGCTGAATGAGTCTGTGCGTGTGTGTATGTGTGCGTGTGTGTGCGTGTGTGTGTGCGTGTGTGTGGGGGGGGGGTTGCTTACAGACATCTAATGTGTTTATGAGGCTACAGGGTAAAACGCAAGAGCACCTGTTAGTGCTGCTGTACACTGTAAAAGCTTTGATTTATGACAAGAGAGGGGGCCTTTAATGAGAATGCTAACAATCTGGCTCACCGGAGACTTTCTGGGCGGATTATAGCTAATTAGAACGCATTGGTTACGGCAGCATTCCTTCTGGAGTCCTCAGAAAGCTGCTTGTAATGTGGACTGGAGGAGAGCCCAGCCTGCCTTTACTTTGACTAAGGTTTAACTGTGTCCGAGCTTTTCACTTATGTGACTTAAGAGACACATTAAAGCCTTATGCCAGGAGGGGTTCGCTTAAGGGAGAATTTTAATGATTTGTGTGTGTGCAGAAATTAGTTCGGTTTTCTGCTCGGTTTTTGCATACCAAAGCAGGCAATGTTTCCGTCCAGTCCGATATATTTGAGGTCCCACTTTGCTGCCTCCATTTCTGTGGGGTCGCTTTCAGTCATGTCGTCCATGGCAAAGACGGCTTTCTGGCGGAACTCAGCGTTGTCGTCAAAGTTGATCTTAGCATCAAAGCAAACCACTGGAGGATTGGGGGAGATGACAAAGGCAGAGTCAGAAATAAAGTCAGCAACAGACGAAGCATAAAAGTGAGAAAGAAGGAGATGGCAGGCAAGGGAAAAGAGAAGAGAAGGAGGCCTCAGACATAAAAAGCTAACTAATTATCATTTCTAAAACCTGAAATTAATGAACTAAGCGATGTCCCCTTGGCCTACTGGTCTTAATTATTTCAGAGGTTGGCTCACCAAGGGATGGGTCTTTGACACTGCCACTAAGGGGAAGACTGTTATAGTAAATGGACGTTTCCTTTACACTTCAAAGAGAGTGCATTTCAAAGAAGACCACACTCATGAAGCTACCTGGAAAATGAGTTCATATAAAATGAAATAAACTGGTTGAGGGGCTTTTTGTATACACTATAGCAACACTTAGCGTGATGGTCACTTGAAGCAATAGTTCAACATTTTGGGGAAGTACGCTTATTTGCCTATTGGACCTTTAAAGTTTACCAACTACTGCATCAAATCTTAGAAATAATCCAAGAAATAGTCTGGCACATTACCCCATGTAAAACTGTAACTGTTCGCCTCTAATTCCCATCTTTGTGCTAAACTAAGTCAGCCAACTGCATGCTGTAGCTTTATATTCAATGCACAAATGTGAGAGTGGTATCAATCTTTTCATCTAACTCTTAGCAAGAAAGCAAATAAGCTTATTTCCCCAAATGTCCAACTATTCATTGAAAGAAATACATTTCCAGCTAGTTTTCAGCAAGCTGGGATCTGTTTTTAATTTCTCTTTCAATCAGTAATTTGCTCTGTTCAATAAACTCAGTTGAAGGAATTAGTGTTTATAAGTTTGAGTAATTATGACTAACAGCATACTTGTATACCAAACTACAGTATATACTTGTCAACCTATACCATACCATCACATATAGTAACGTATGACCAAAGGTCAGCCTGTAAACTAACAAATCATTAAAAATATAACTATTATGAGTTTAAGAGAAACTATGGTGATGTCTATAAACCTTTCAGCATCAGTTTTTCTCATGAATGGTACATTGCAGGTAAACAGACAGCCAGATGACAAACATGTAATAGTGAGAAAAGGTAACAAAATAAGGAAACATGGGAATTGGCTTTGGGAATGACATACAGGCAAACAAAAACATAAACAAAACAGGCACATAGACACACGGTACATGCAGCCGGCAGACACTCTCCTGGGACTAGGGAGAAGACATGCCATGTCCTCCAGGTAAAGAAGCACTCCCTGTACACAGTTCTTTTTGTTTTTGTTTTGACACATCCATTATTGCAGTCAATCTACAAAATGAATTGAGCTATTACTAAATGAGAAAAAAACAACAACAACAAATTTTCCACCCTTGAGAAATGTTCCTTTCCAATACATGTCTGTTAAATGCCTGCCGGAAAATAGCTACGCTCCCTTGTGACATGTGAACAAATCGAACCAAAAAATGAGTTTATTTTAATGTGAAGCTCGTCTACAAAGCCTGCCTCAATTACAACCACTGCTTCTTCCTGCTGGTAGAAAAGGAAACTCATACTTCTCAGTAAAAATTCATTGTTTGAAAAGGAGTCATTTTATTCATTAATATTCATAAGAAACGGTGAAACAACAAACTTCTCTTGTCAATCTTTCAATCTTTGATAAAGCATACTTTGAACAAGAATCTGTTTTTGAGGAGACTAAATAACATCAAAGAAGTGATGCATCTTCTGCACGTTGTAATATGTCTCGATAGGACACATCACAGTCAATCTGTGTTCAGTGCTACAGACGAGACAATCATTCTTATTTCTTTGGGAGAAAAACAAAGTTCAGTACAAGTTCAACAAAATCAGGATTACAATAGCTAGAGTATGCATCATGATGACGTATAATGTCTTTCTTATCTGAATAATGAGCACTTATATTTGTTACCCTGCTAACCTCAACTTGTGTCATGTTGTGGGAATGTATTGTATTAAGTGACAACAGGGGACTCAAATTTACCATATCTCTATGTTTCTTTGTGAATTCAAGTGTTTTCATCTATCACAGAACATTTAAGAAAGAAAAAGACAAAAACACATGAAAAGACAATAGAAACTGGACTGAGGAAGAATTAGAGTCCATGAAATGAAGCCAGACCCATGGCTATAGTAAATACTGACCCAAATCTCTATGCAAACCCCTTATCTGACAAAAAAAGAAGCCCGGCATCAGCTGCAAATCGCAGTATTACCCCCCAAAAGACTTTGTTTAGGATCAGGAGACAATTAAAAGCAGGCCATGAAATCCAATTACTTAATTTAATAGACTGAACATGTAATAGGCTAGGCTACCCTGCTATAAAATCAGTGAATTGAGGACTTTTGAGACGAGAACTTTTAAATACATTTTCTATTTGAAGGCACTAAATGTCTCTCTCCTAACAGCAGGATTTCAGGCTAGTGTACAAAAGTATTTATCAGAACAAAGAGATAAGTGAAGTGCGATAAATGTACAGATACAAAGAAAGTTGGGTTTATCTATACCAACAATAGTTATATAGTAACTTCCAATAGTTATGTGTAAAGTATATTAATTTAAGATAAGAGGTTAAGCAAAAGCGGTGTTAGGGTTTTACAGGCTAAACTTCAGATTTTACTGAGTTTGACTAATTCGAATTTGTAAGGAAAATGTTACCACTGAAATTTAAACCAATTCAAAAATAAGTCATTTCAATTACTTTTAAGGCCTGATACATGTATACAATATCTAAAATAAATATAAGAATTGAGCTTATCACATTTTTTTTATCTTCTCTATTACTATGAATATCCCTGAGTGATTATATGAAGCATGTGTCTGTAGCTGCTGCTTTAATTCCTCATTGTAGCTCCTCATTAATAGCTGACGATAGACTGTACGCCTTTAGTTAATCATTGACAACTAGGAATCATCAACAAACACCAACATGCCTTGAATATGGAAATCTCTGGTCCCTGAAGCCATTTAGATTTTGATCCAGACGAAGTCATGCTGACAAGAAACTGACGTCAATGTGCTGCAATTACAATTTCCCATTCTAAAATGCATTCAGACCCGAGGAGATAGGTTGCCTGTAACCAGTCACTGATTAATAGGTGCCTGCCTGTTCCTGCAAAACTGCTATATTCTCCATTTACAGTGTCACAACATTACAGATGTTTAACATGATTTAGAGACAGTTATGGCAGGAAAAACACATGCACAGACATGCAGACACACAAATGCACACTCAAAGATAGAGGCCAAGTCAACACACACACACACACACACACACACACACATATATATAAAGACAGGCATTTTCTATGATACAAGGTACCTTGTCCTTCGGGAGTCTCTCCGAGAGGATTGACTTCGACTTGAGTGGCGTCGACTTTCAGGAACAGATCATAGAGCCTCTTAATCTGATCTGCTGCCTGCGAGGTCCACAGAGGACAGTAATTACTCGATTGTTCGGCTCTGAGCAGCCGGCCCCACCAAGGCCACTCAGCTACCCACACAGGCTACATAAAACATGGCAAATCACCTTCAACATCATGCTGTCTGAGTTTGTTTTTCATGAATGTGTATGTCTCTGTGCTCAAGGGGAATATTTACTTCACTTTTTTTTCAAATGGTGTGACAACTGGTAAATAGGACATATATTACAACACATACAGCACTAGTACCCTTTGATCTAATGTGGTTACAATAAATATAACAAAAATATAACAATGATGAACATTTCAGTAGATTTCACCTGGCAGTAGTATTCAAACATACTGTATGCATTTATTTTCTTGCTTTGTCTGTTTTTTTTTCATACCGGATTGATATGTACAAACAATGTATGGGCAAAAGATGAATACAGCCAGTAATTACAGCAACACAGAAATGCCACAACACTTCAAATCAATGAATCAAAATCGCCATTTTAAAAGTATCTCAATTGCTATCTCTATTGCTGCAACTGTTCTTTAGTAATGAAGACATTACAAAAAATTCTAAATGCACAGTCCCAGACACAGTCCACCAATCTTATTTTTTTTGTCACACACACACACACACACACACACACTTGGACCTACACAAAGATCCTGATTCAAGACAGTAAAGGTAATTTAAACGATCTGCAATTATCTCTGAATTAATCAGTCTAGCAGATGACTCACAGCAACCAAGGAAAAGAATAGACACTTAACCAATCACTTTCTATTTCTCTCCTTGCCCGTTTAAAATCAATGCCCATTCAGTATCCTGCAAAAAAGGATCTCATACAATGGGATGCAACCAAAGCTCAAACACTTTTGACTCTCAGTTTGCTTCTCAAGCTTCTCAGCTAATCTGATTTCTCATGCCACGATGCCGTGGAAACGAAAACAAATTAGTGATCTAATGCCAACAGACAAATAGCTTTGAATTGAACTCAACATCTAAGCACTCACACACCCTCTCTGAATGTGAATGGTTTCTGTGCTATCTTCCTTGGCCTCATTTTCCTAGATAATGCTCCCTTAGCTAGATTTGTAGGACTTGAGGTGACAAGAAAACATTTTTGTGTCACTGTCCTTAAAATGAAAGGTTGCCAGTTTTGTCTTTTACTGCATGAATCACACATTCACTCACTGTGCGGCATATTCTATCAAATAATGGTGCCATTAGTGATGTCAGCCCCCCTCAGCCTGGCACGGCGCTGTGCGTCACTGCCAGATATGACAATAGACCACCTGGCAAGTGAGTCTGGTGTAATGACACTTCACAACTTGCCTCTGGAAAACTAATAACAGCCAAAGTTTGGTCTGTTTGTGGACAATGATATGTCTGTCCATGTGAATGTGTCTGTGTTGGAGATCTTTCTGCCCCCTCTTTGTATTGTGATTTCAAAGCCTGTAGTGTGCCCATTACCTGTCTTTGCAGAGGTCCTTTGAAACCCAAATTAGCTGCCATGAGAAGTGCCTGGTCGTCTTGCACACCTTGAAATATATCTATAACTTCCTATAAGATTTGCAGTCAAAGTGAAAGAGAGAGGGAGAGAAACAAATGGAGAATGAGAGTGAGAGAGAAGAAGAGGCTCAAAGCTGGGCAATAATTTGACACAAAGCGGATGTTCATATTAAACTTCCAACATCCTAATTAAGTAGTGGCAAGCTGCCAGACATGGAGAAAAGGGAGAGTTGGGACTGAAGCGACGGATTTATGATTATCAGACCCTCGTATCTTGGACTTTCAAATAGAGAGAGAAGCGCTCATAACTTTTTTCATAGGTATAAAAAGAATGAAGTATTTCAGGGTGCACAGTGGTAAGAAAATAACGTATAAAACTGCAGCTGTCGTTAGCTGGTATGAACCACTTCTATATCAACTAGGTGTGGAGCATATAGATTTTAATGAGATGTGTGAAAGGTGTACTGCACTTTCGTGTGTTAGATACCAACACCACAGCTGTTTACTGCATATACAATCTGAAACCTTTGGGGAAAATAATGAATGACATAAATTTCAGGAAGATCTTTACAATCTGCTCTAACATCTGTATACTATAGCAAAAGAGAGATATATACCAATAGGAAATGCAGGCAAAAGCCATCTGTAATGCTTAAATTGTACATCTGTTAACAATGACAAGGACCTGTTGCCAAGTAGCCATGACTACAGTGGGCTTATGTGCATTTATTCATGTTTAGGTTCTGCGTATTGTTGTATGTGTGCATCATGTTCAGCTGCCACAGTGCGAATGCAGGCACGACAATGCTTTTAATTGAATTAGTGGAAAATACGAACAGAGCACAGCTTCCATCTGTAAGACCCACTGGGCAATCCATCCCTGGCCTGATTTCAAGCCAAATAAAACTTTTGTTAATTATAGAGTAAAATCTTTGAGCAAAGATGGCGAGGGGTTTGCACTTTTAATGAGTTCCATTGTGCCAGACAAGATCAATCAATTTCAACTTTTCAGCAATATTTTCTCTTTTTCTCCTTCTTCTTATTTCATATTGTAGGGATGAGTATAAGCCACAATGCACATACCTTAAAGATTAGTTCTGGGGTGCTGGCAGCTACCTCCTCGATATCCATACCTCCCTGGGGGCTTCCTACCATGACAGGACCATTACAGGAGCGGTCCATCAGGATGGCAAAGTAGGTCTCCCTGCTAATGTCCAGGGCCTCAGCAACCATCACCTGGACATGGCACAGCACAAGAGAAAGAGATATAGGAAAGCGGCTACAATACCAACTTGACTTGGTCATGTAAAGGGTTCCAGCCCTAATAAACAATCCCATTTAATCTTTCTAAACTCCCCGATAGCATCTGGAAAACCCATACAAACTTTTCACATTACCGTGTATCTTTAAAAAAGGTGCAGAATATATCTATATATTCAATACTAGATTGAACAGAATAACACAAGCAAATAAGCAGGGTCCATAGATTGGCAGAATCTATGAAGCATAGCTCTGAGAAAATCTCATATGCTGTGTATGAGAAAGGGAGGCAAATAGAGAGGAAAATACTGTTTGGAATCCAGCAGATAAGCAGAAAGAGGAAGCAAACAAGAGGCTCATTTGGAAAAGAGAGGGAAAAAAAATCTGACAGGAAACTATCAGTTGTGTGGTGGTTAATGGGCTGCAGGTTTTCTGGATGGGATGTTTGTTTGAACATGCACAGCCCTTATGTTCTGCTTCCACCCTATCACCCAGCGAATGAGGATGGATAGCCTTCTCTACCCTCCGTGTGAAGAGACAGCGCTCCTATCTCCTTGTCCAAATGTTGTCTTCTCCAGTCACTCAAACGTTCTCTTAAGTTCCTATGTTGTTTGACTTGTAGCCCGATTTTTCACTCAAGCTAAACATATTCTATTCCCACCGTCTTGTTCGTTCTGTTTCCCATCAAACTCCTGTTTTTGTCTCCTACAGTTTTGTTCCACAACCATCTTTAAACACCTCCTGACTCACCTTCCCTAATCTTCTCTCCTCATCCCTCAATCAGTGCCATGACAGCAAATCCATGTAGATGCTGAAGTGCTGCCCCCCTTTTCCTGTGGTTTTCTCTGCTCCTCGGTGCAGTGTGGGTCGAGGGTTGATGTGAGGCCCATTGGCAGGTTGACAGCTAAGGTCTGGCTGTCATCTGACAGACCAGGTTGTCACTACAGTGTTACTGTACTTGATGCTTCAGGTCAGTCAACGGCCGCTCTTGCCAGGTTTGATCTCAGTGCTACAGGCGAAAGAGGGTGTTCTTGGTAAGACAACTGAATGGCCAATTGGAGGTTACATTTCTTGTCGCTCACATATAGTTTTGTCCAATTTATTTTGTTGTTTGTTCGCCTATTCCTCTGCCTCTGAGACATGGAGTTAATTCTATGGCTTGTATACTTCCTGCTCCACAGTTTTTTATTTATAAAAATGACAAGTGCGACCCTCATTTGATTCCACCTAAACTCTGCAGAAAGGGCAGGAGCACCGGCTGGGTGGATTCGGGGATAGCAGAGGTAAGCAGAGATCGGGAGAGAAAAAAGACAGAGAGCGGGACACACACAAGCCACAGACTGAGAAGGCTTCATCACCTGGAAATGTCTGTTTTGAGGAGGTACTGCATGCAGCATGCGAGTAGAGAAAATGAGATTCCTGCTTGTTAGTGGCACATAGAAACAGTTGTTTACCAAACACTTTAAATTCACAGTAGGCCTGGTTCAATTTATGCAATGAGCCATAACACCAGCCAGCACGAACTCACAGTAAACAACAGTGGACAGCTACTATTTAAACCTAGCGAAAAAAAAAAAAAAAACCATAGAGCCTGACTGCCTTCACAGTCATTAATTTTACAGAACTGCATTACTGGACTCAAAATGCCTTGAAATGAGGTCAGGAAAAAAGGGGGGGAAAAACAAGAAGAAAGAGTTGAAGTATATCTTTATTTCCTTTAGTCTGCACAGTGGCTCACCGTTTTCACTTTCACTCCATCTTTTGGTGTCTGCTTGGTAGTCAGGTTGTAACCCAGCATCTTATTGGCCAGTTCACCAACCACTGCAGGGCTGAAGGAGAGAGGTTACAGGTCAAACAGTATCCTTGTTTAAAGAGCAGGTTGATTTTAAAAAACAATCACTGAAAAAGCATACGCTTACAACATGAAAGATGAGAAGAGGAGGAGGACTGACAGATGGATAAGTATTTCTTTATCTCTTTGTTTAGTTGAAGGGAGATATGCCTCAGCACTTTTTGGGCATTAATGTAACATATTCTGACAAAGCACCGCTTTTTGAGACACTTGGGTACATCTACACAATGCTGTGAATGAACCTCCACTTTTTCTCTCTTCTTAAAAACAGGCCGCATGCCAAGGCTACTTCTGTAAGCCTGCTCTGGTTTTGTAAGTGAATAAAAATGAAGCCAGGGGTTGTACTCATCCTTTGATAGATGAGAGGAAAGTGAACTGTGCACTCATGTCACTGTCTGGGGACGATGAACTTCAGCGTATCTCACTTTGAAAAAGTTTCCGGCCATTCCGAACCCTGAAGTAGGATGAGGATGATACATGTCTGGGACAATTGTCATAAATCACCTTCCTGCCTTTAAGGTGGCAGTAAGTGGTAGGTACCTTTACTAAAAAGATAGCACTGTTTGTACATGGAGTACATGGAAACTGCAGTGCCTGAGCAAAGAAATGCTTTTTAAAGTTGTTCTTTAGCCTTTTAAAAAATGCACAACATTTCAGAGTGAGCCTTCATTGGAGGAATACACCCATCACACTGTAATTTTAAGCTAGAACAAAATAAACCTCAGGATTGGCACAAAACCCAACAAACCTGGGAGAACAAAACTCAGTATGGGGTGCATAGCGCTTCTGTTGACCTTAAAATCACTTTTTCAACATCTAATTGAGGGTAGTTGTTCGAAAACGAGGCACTGGAAGAAAGAAAAACTGTTTATTTGCAGCGCAAGTAATCCTGACTCTGCCTCTGTGCCTAGGGAGCATCTTCAGAGAGCTCTTTGAGCCTCCTCACTCTAAAAGCCGCTGTCGTAAGAGAAATAATACGAATCTATCTCCTACAGTTACTCTCAGTGTGAAACGCACATAGGGGAATACTTACTCCTTAGTTAAGTGCACTCCACCTTTAAGGCCACTGTCAAACACACCCTTGCCTCTGCCACCGGCCAGAATCTGAGCCTTCAGCACGATCTCCTTGGCATCTGAAAAACAGAAAGAGACGAATTTAGAGAGAGAGAGGGACAATAGGAGGGAAAGAAAGACACAGAGAGAGAGAGAGCAGGAGAGAGAGAGAGAGAGCACTTAAGATATAAGCTCAGCACCTTGAATGCCGCCATGAGTCTGCCACTTATCTGTCCATCTGATTGAAGAAAGAGGGTAAGAGGAAAAGAGAGGGGTGAGTGTGATATGTGAAAAGATTAAGGATTATGTCAGGAAGGAAAAAGTTCAGCACCCATCTACAAGAAAAAGTTACCCAGTACTACTGATTACAACGTTTTACAGGAATTACAGCACCCATGGGAAGTCATGGGATCACAAATTATTAGGATACATTGTTTGGGCACCATGAATATCTGTTACCAAATTTCATTGAACAATACATCCAATAGATGTTAATGACATGTCACTCAAATTCAAATAACTTCAACCTTATTGAGCAAAAGTCACCAGTCAGTAGACTGCGAGAAGATGAATGTCTGTACAAAATTTCATGCCAATCCATGCAATAGTTGTAAAGATATTTCAGTCTGGAACAAAGTTGTGGACTGACCGACCAACCGACAGACATTGCCGTCCATAGAACCACGCTGCTGAAAATAACATCCACATACAATATCCGCTTGAACCTTTAAATTGGTGTGTCCCTCACAACTGGCATCCGGTTAAAATCTCAGTGCAAGTAGGGAAAAAAAGCAACTGCACAACTGTTAGAAACTTTCACATGACCTTGCTCCAATTATATAACCACCCTGCTTCCCCTTCACTGTCACTGCCACCTTGCAAGAACTCACACATCAGGAGGAGGCCCCTCAGCTGTCTTTTCAGCATCCGGCCCACAATCTCCCTCTATTCAAATGGGGTGAGGACACTTGATGAAAGATGGTCTCTGGCTAGGTTATTATTATCTAGGTGGGGGAGTTCAGCCATTGACAGGTGGCTGCCATCAGGGCGGGAAGTGGGTGGTAGGGAGAGTGGAAGAGGATGATCGGCGGTGCGATGGCTGGAGAGACACCTTGACCTTGAGGGCTGGAGACAAGCTCCCCCCCTTGATGAAACTCTATGAGAAAGGGTGGAGAACGTCTAGACAGGAGGTGAGGTGAGCAGAGAGAACCTAAAAACTCTGGCTGTGCTGTAGAAAGAAAAGGAGCCTGAGAAAATAGCCTCTGACAGGGTGGCAGGGATTTAACTAACACTGCATTAGTGAGACCCGTTCTCTGTGGAGAGTTGGGAGTTGAGAGGGGAGAAAGAGAGGGAATCAGAGAATAAAGGTGTGTTCATATGCAAAGGGCTTTGAGAGGAGTCATAAATGAATAAATATGTTAATAAAAAACTGCTACTGCGCAAAATTTAAAAGAGTTCAAAGCAAGATGAAATAGTGTGTCCTACGGGCATGTGCAGCGGAGAGGGGCGGCACAGAGGAAATGACTTTTGCTTTAAAGAGGAAAAAAGAAACAAGTGGAGGAACAAAGGTGTAGCCCAATAGGGAGATTGCATTGCATGAGTATTGACACACTGATGAGGACCTTAAAAAAGCAAGCTATGGTTTTAAAACGAAGATATATTAAATATATTAAAAGGCATGTAATGTGCCGGGGAAGGTAATGGGGTGAGAACGAGGCAGGTGTTCATTCCTGCTGCACTAGTAATTGATAGCAAACCTGCTTATTATGCGGCACACAACAAGATATTGTAGCAATATCAGCAATTGTGAACAGGCACTGAAAGAGCAATGTGCTGATAATAACAGGAAACTTTACAAAACAAGAAAGAAAATTAGATATAATGTGTCAAAATGCATTCGCACCGCAGCTCAAAGACTGTACAATAGAAAGGTATACCATTCTCACAGAGAAAAAAAACTCTGGTTAACATTGAAACACCACTCTCTGCTCAAACACATGGAGAGGATAATGATGTCCTCAAAGATCACAGTGAACATGGTGCATGGTAAAGAGCAGGTCGACCATTATCTGGTAGTATGACAGACATGAAATGGCCTCTTACACTCAGAAAAAGGTTGGTCCCTAATGAGTGCGGTGCAGAGAGGGGAGTGGATAGAAAAGGAGTAGTAGTATGTAAAATCAGAGGTAAGTCATGCTTTTATGTTCAACCCAGACACCTTGATGAAGTTAATCAGCAAAGATACCAGCAAGCACTGCCACAGAGAGTCGGAGGTTTAGGTTTTCATACAGTGAAAAAAAAGCAAAAGGGAGGGACACGCTAATGAAGGATGACATACATTGCATTTTGAAAGCAATATAGTTTACATCCTGTCCGAGATGCTTCCTCAAATGTATGTTTTAATTACTGGGACTGGACAATATGCAGAGAGTGTATATGCACTAGATACATAACAAATCATTACTTAACTTGTTGCAGTTACAATAATTAGAAATACCCCCTGTAGGAAGCCGTTTGGTTATTAGTTGAATCAAAACCCTTTTCTTGGGGGGAGGGAGCCATGGGTTGCATAATCAGTCCTCCGTTCCATTTGTATCACACAGCCCACTGTGAAGATGCAGAGAAAGATTTTCATCTCCATTTATTTTCTATATCTTGGGGACACACGGGAGGAGATTAACATCGCACAACATCTCCAATCGCATCACATGCAATCGGAGTAATGCGGTCATCATCCTCAGGCCTTACTCATTTCCCAGTAATGAGTGCAAATCAACTCCCAGTCTGCTTGCCAGTGACAGCAGCTGGCAAAGAGAATGCTACTTCTACAATCAGCGTCTCGTCCACCCTCTTTCCTTCTGTGCACTTTTGAAATCCCTATTCTCTTCTCTTCTCCTCCCCTTATCCCTACCATGTAGCTCATGGGTGGCCAGCAGCAGAGTTAGCTTTGGTCTGATATTTAATTAAGCCTTCGAGGCTGTGCCATGAGGGGGATGCTGGTTGGTAAGGGACAGATGTAGGCTGTGCGCCAATCCAGAGAGAGTAAGATGTGGCTACCATCTGCATGGAGAGAGAGAAAAAGATCAGGACGGCCCTCCCCAGCGTGCATGTGTGCTGTAATGAAAGTAATGTGGCGACTAAATGGAGGAGACTAATCAAACTCTTGGGAGAGAGTAGAAAACAAACACAAGCGCTCACAGCTACAATCAAACACCACAGAGAGCCAGAGCCTTCCTATGAATAAATGCCATTGACACTAGAGGGAAGGGGAAAAAAAACGAAGCCCTCTGAACCTTCAGCATCTGTGCTCATCATGAAAGTACACCTCCTAGTTATGATGCAGGAGAGTGTTGATTGCAGCCAAACAGGCAGACATTAGTCTTTAGACAAAATAAAGGAAAAGAAATGTGAGTTTACAAGACAATTAAATCAAATAATGTAGTCATAATTATTATTTCTGCAATATTTGTTTGGAATTAATTCCAAGCAGCTTAAGTTTGATTTATAATTCAGGGGTATTCCAGTACTATAAGCAGAAAGAACAACAATCTGTGCTTCCATTTGCTTCCATCTAGTGGCACATGGCATGTCTTTAAATAACTTCAATTATGTTGTCAACTACATATTGATAACTACAGAAAGCTATGGGAGCAGCTCAAGCTTTTGACTCACGTCCCCAAAGGGCTCTTTGCTGTGTCACATCAATGGCTCACTGATGTTGGGACCAATGAACTCACAACCTACTACAGGCAATGCAGGATATCAAAGACTTAAAACAGAGCAACTTACCAATAAGCTTCACTAATTGCATAAGCATTAAACTGAATACCATTGTCCCTTGCATTTGTATAAAAAGGTCAAGTAAGGCTTATTCAAACACAATGTTCCGTGAAATAGCCTTGCATCACATTATGTTTTGATATCACTTTGGGGCCAGCAGGGCCAGTAAATGGAACAGGTCGTGTTCAATGTTTAGACTCCTTGTCTGATGATTTTCGTTAACCACAGCAGTGACGCTGGTATTATCTTGGACAAGTTCAGCTTTCCATAAACTTTTACCATTTCCAATTCTGCCAGACTGCGAAAAGGTCAGACGCAAAATTGCTCTCCATTCATGCAGTGATGGCAGGTGAACCAAAAAGAAATATGAAAATAAAACCTTTAGTTTTTCGGTTTTTCGTCTACCTTGACATATAATGGCCTTGGAATTCTTTAAGCTAAATATTTTTCCCTGTTAGGGTTGGGGTTGAAAAGTCAGCAGACATTGATTAATCCTAACCACGCTCTACAATGTCCTCTTGCTGCTGGCATGTCTGTAGACCAAATGTTGAGACTTGTATAACAATGGACAAAGAGATTTTGATGGAAAAAAAAGTCAAAGATAGCAACAATTTGACCTATTTGTTCACTACAACTTAATATATCATTACCATCTCACTGTCTTGTCTGGTTAAGCCCACCGTCCCTGTGTCCGTTTCTGCCTCTAATGATGCCATCTCAGTGCTACTAGGTGGAGGAGAATATCAGCGTCCCAGACTGACAGCGGCACCTCTGTGTGACACCTCCTCCAGTCACAACTTGCATGACAGCCGGGTCCTCATTAGGACGAGTCCACCTGGCTTTCAGACATAGACATCACTTCTAATGACATCCTGAGATGGCCCTGGTCTGCTCTTAGTGACAGTTCGAACCCCTGGCTGAGGGTTTTTCATTGCCATACAACCAGAGGGGTGACGGTAATGATAATGGTATTGTGGAACGATGGGTGCTAAATTACCATATCTGTAGGGAGAATTTACTTGTATCAGGCCACATCACAAGAGAGATAAATAGAAAAATACTACTCTGTAAAAAATACTTTCTGACAAGTATTCTGAGTGTTCCAGGAAATCTTCCAAAAAATAACTTTTAAATAAGTGACACAGAATCTAGACAAACATGAGCTGCTTACTTCTCATTACTGACTGGACATTTTTTATCAGTTCAGCATGAACAATAGCAGATAAAACCATTCTAAAAGCTACCAACATCTGCTGCTTCTGCTGCACTGGTGGGCAAGAGGACTACTTGCAATGCCATT